GACTGAACAACAACAACTCAAAAGTTATAGGGCTTAATCATGAGAGTGAAAATTAAACCAGTTGGCTATAAATACATTGTGCACAGAAGCACTTCAGCTCCAGTAAATGAAAGTTTTTTGTGGAAGGATGTAGAAGGACAAGAACTGTCCAAACCATTGCAGGTATGACTCACTGCTAATATTTTTTAATCTGCCTGTAAATGTAAGAACGCTGTCCAGCAGATCACCCTCTCCATACATTCCTGTTTGTATGTTTGAGAGTGTGAGTAGCTTCTGTTGCTTTGACAGTTCTGCAAAGAATCAAACTGTTATTGTTAGAACAGTTGCTAAGCCTATTGTCAGGTATGAAAGAGAAAGAAAAATAGGCTTGGAAAAAAGCCTTTCATAAGAACCTATATAGTGAGTGTGTGAGGGGTGTGTGTGTGAATTACAATCTACTATTTTTCTTTTACTATCTTGATGAAGTTTTGACTTTTTTCCAGCATTATTGGAATGATTAGTTATCACTCATTCATTTGGGACTTCCTTGTTATTCTTTGCTGATCAGAACAGGAGCTTCTTTTTTCTCATTTGGTAGATAAAATGTACAGTGACAACAACAAGTTCTGTGATGCCATAAAGATTTATTATGATATAAGATTTTGTGGACTATAACTTAATAGGCTCATATGAACAAAGATATTTCTAACTGCTAGAAATCTATTACTTTTAAAGCTTTAATTCATCATGGGGCTTTTTGCTCTTATTGCTACAATAGACAAACATGGTAAATATAATGGAGAAGATTGATACTGAAGTTACTATTTAGCTGATTGACAATCATTTATATTCAGGGAGTAAGCATCCAGTTTTGATGATACCATTATGACTTCCGCTAAATGGGTTCTATATTGTCCACAGGGAAGGGATCGCTCTAGGCACTGAAAAACCAAGAAGTCTGCTCAAAAGCCACTCAGAGCAATTCTCATATAGGTGTTGATATAGCACCTGTAGCTCGCCTTTGAATTATGCCTGTGGAAGGGGAGTGCCACCTAGTGCCAGACTGGTGCTCTCTATTTCTCTGTAGCTTTGTAACCCCATTTGCTCTCCATTCTTCTGGATGGAATAGAGCTCTGGGGTTTCCCTAAAAAAATCACATCTAGGAAAATAGGAAAGTGGCAGATTTCATACCTAATAATTGCACTGGCTGGATATTATGAAACCATCATGATGTATTTTTGATGCAGTATCAAACAGTCCAGTTAATTCTTCTGGAACCATTGGAATCCTGATAACTAACTTCCACCCAAGGATGAATTTGATCAAAACCACATTCTCTAAACCAATTTTTCTCAAACTGAGTGCCCTCTAAATTTCCATTCCCCAAATTTGCAGGCAGGTCCATATTGGCTGGGGGATCCTAGAGGGACCTCAAGTTGGAGAAGGCTGGCTATAATGACAGCTAATTATTCATCTTTGTAATAGAAACTCTGTACCCATTCTTTGTATAGTTCAGTTTTTTTCCTCTCAGTAAAAGTTTCCTTCTACAAATTGGCTACTATGATTTTCCCCAATTTGTACTGCAAATCATCTCCCTGCACAAACCAATTAAAACCTTTCTGCATCTGCCAGCCCAGCACACATTTGTAGCGCATTGTTAGATGACTGATAGAGACTCTGTTTTAAAGAGGCACCTCATGAAAGGGAACTGAAAAAAATGTTTTTGGAAACTTAAACAGATCTGTAAGTGCAGCTGTTAACACATTCAGCACCCTGCCATAGACAATATGTGAACGCACATACCCTAGCCCACATACTGGCAGGATGGTGAGAAAATAAAGCAAAGGGTTTTTTTTTTTTTAAATGAATGTTAATATTTGTGGGAGTGAACTAGCAGACTGGCAAGTGTAAGGATTAACGTGTATGCATCAGATGTCCAAAGGCAACATACTTAGGTAACCTAGGTTCTTTAAATACACACCAACAACCATATGTCTGCACAGCCCCTTTTCACCTGGAATTTCACTGTCTGTAGTTCTTTTCCAGATTCATTTAGAGATAGGAAGAAAACTATTAAGAAAGATGAGAGAATATATTTGATAATGGATGCTAAGGCTGATACTGGCTGATTCTTGGTCAGAGTTGTACACGATTTTTAAGGATAAGTTAAAGATAAGTTTATTCTCTTAATTTTTTTTGCATATTTTGTAATAAACTTCCTCTTTGGGGGTACCATGTTTTTTTACAGGATATGTATTTATACTTTTTTTTTTTTTAAGAAGCACAATGCAACTCTCTCCTTTATCTGATCACATTATTTGCTTCCTGTTAAATTTTGCTGTGAAAAACACTTTTTTTCTCTTGGTAATATAACAGCTTTGCATTTCAGATACAATTATAAATCATTGGTCCTGATGATTCCAATTCCAGGTGATCAAGCCTAGTAATTTTCATCCCCATACTCTGAAATTCTATCGCTCATGTTTCTTTATGTGTGGCTCCCACTCTGTTGGTGTTCCAGAAGGCCTCAAGGACCTGGTTGTTCTCCTAGGCCTTGGGTAGGATGGATGGAGCCCCTTGCTGGATGAATTTTTGCATATGTTATTGAGCAACCAGATCCCATCTTGTTTATTTGCTTTGTACAGTATTATGTTTTTATTGTTCACTATATTGTGAGCTACTCAGAGTTGGTTTGGAATCAGGCAGATCTTAAACTGAGTAAAATAAATAATACTTAAGAACAGTTCCATGAACAGCAATATCCAAAATATATTGAAGATTACAGGACATCTATCAGTCTGCACACTTGCCCAGGTGAGTATGTTATTAATTGGTAAGAATATTGTATTACAATATGAGGACAACCTTAGAATAATTAAAAAAACATAATTACAATGAGATATGATGGTTTAGAGAGTAGTTTAAAAAGAAGTTTGTTTTGACTCCTGGTGACTGCTTGGACAAGTCCCTGGGAGTGAGAGTAAGTGACTAGCCAAAAGTCACCCAGCTGGCTTTGTGTCCAAGGCAGGACTAGTACTCACAGTCTTCCAGTTTCTAGCCTGATGCCTTAACCACTACACCAAACTGGCTCTCATATTAACATTGTTATGTTACATCTTTAAAAATGCAATGGCTTAAATGTGTCTCTTTGTGATTAAAATTGTTTCACTTAAGCTCTTACTCTATTTTTTCATATTTCTTTTATAAGTTTTCATTCTTAACTATAGAACATATAGTAACTTACAAGTATCTTACTGGATGAATTTCAGGATGCAGAAATTAAGGCAAGAATATTTTACTCCCCTGAACATGACTCTTTCCTAGATTCTTTGATCTTGATGGATTGGTTGTAATATGTCCTAATATGTCCTCTCATTTCACCATAGTCATAACTGGACTTTTTGGAAGCTGAAGAGATGACTTCATTAGAAGTAAAGCTTGTGATTTTCCAAATTATAGTTACAATAAAACAAACTTCTACACCAAGGTGAATTGGCCTGCCTCCAATCATGAGCCAGATAATGTTTGAGAGATAGCATCTGCTAGTCTGAGCCATTTTAAAACAATTATTATGGCAGCTCCTCACTGAGGATGTTCTCCTGGGTTGTCTTAGTAGTCACCAGCATAGTTGCTCCAAGTTCAGTTGCAGGCAGTGGAAATGGAGAGTTGCATTTTGCATCATGGGGACACATGGGAATCACTTCAAACTCCTGACTTCTTGTGAAAACAATGCAGGGTATATTCTCCTTTAAGACATTATCTTGGGTAGTCTTTGTAACACCATTTAAATGTGAGCATCGAAGCTGTCCAGGGTCATAGTCTCCTGGTCTGTAGTCATGGCTTGTATGAGCTTTATTGGCAAGAAAACTTGTGCAGTTCCCATTTTCTAATAACAAAATATAATATTAAAGGAAAATCAAATTAAAATTTGCTGGAAAACTGAAATTCTTAAAAACAAACTGAAGGAATACTCATGATAGCACAAGAACAGCTATGCAAATAAACATAAAACCAAAATTGAACATATTTCAAATGATAACAAATACTGATTTATGTAAATCAAAGATGTAATTGTTGATTACCTTATTGCTGGCTATAGCAAAATTGCCCAGTTGAGTTTAAGCAATGCCATGTTAGCATTGTTATTGGAATTTATGTAAAATTTTTGGCTTTAGTCTTAACAAAAAATACTGGGACCACATGCTTGAAAAAGTCTTAGAAAATGAGGTCAAGATCATGTGAGATTTTAAAATTTAAACCTACAGACACAACACACCAGAATTACTATTACTGAAAAGAAGAAAGTGTGGTTCATAGATAGATGTAGAAATGCCAGGAGATAGTAGCATTGATGAAAAACAAATAGAAAAAGTAACAAAACATTGAGATTTTTAACACTGAAGTTCAAAGATCTGGAAGACTCTAATACCAATAGTAATTGGAGTACTTGGAGCCATACCAAAGGAATTCACCAAATATTTGGAAGTTTTAAATTTCCCAGACTTGACACCACCAACCAGCTTGCTTGGAACTTCCTGTATACTAAAATGACACCTCCATAATTCCAAGACAAGATTGGAACCCAAATAATAAAAAATGCCTAATCTAAAGATTGTTAGTTGTTGGATAAATAGACAATAATCTTAATTAGTAAATCACAAACAGTAATAAATGAATGCACATTTTAAAAAGAGATGTAAGACAGAAATAGGCAGAAAAAAATAATATTCTGTTAATTTGGTAGATAATTTGTAGTAGATCAGTAAGGGTTTTTATTTCCTGCTGTTTAACAGTGTTAACATTTTTATGGTCCCTGTGGCAATAACTAAAACATCCCCAATATGACTGTTAAAACAAGAATGCAGAGGAAGAGTAGATTTTGTGTAAAAAGGCATGAAATCTTAGTTCTGTACATGAACATTTATGTGAGGATGTGCTGAGACATTCACTTTAGCCCCTCTTTTGCAGTTGGCTCCAACTGGTGGATTGTAGGCTTCCCCAGGAAGGGGTCTAAGGGGGAAAATGATGAAGCATGCATTGTGATGTGTGACACAAATTCTGCCCCTTACATACCTGTGTGCAATATCATGACACAAGTATGAAAGGGTGGAGCTTGGATCATGATGTCAAGACACATATTTCATCCTACTGGTGTAAGTGTGGTTAGGAAAAGATGCCTGTAAGGTGAATCTCAGCAATCTACTTAAAAAAAAAATTGGCAAACGTGAAATTTACCAATCTAGTTCAGCATCCCCAGAGAGGGATCTCTCTGGATCCTTCTTCTTTTTCATTTAGAACATGTGTAAAACAAGAGGAAGAAAACAGTCATTTGGTTCACACATTACTTAATTGTGTATGAGACTAGACTAGATCAACCTTCCTCAACATGGTTCATTTAAGATGTGATAGACTGCAGTTCCCACAATCCAACCAATCAGGTTGGAAAGAGTTAGGATAGATCAGATTAAGTGAATTAAAACCTATTATCTGAAGTGTTATTAATACCTACCTTTGGAATTCTCCTTTCCAGTTTTTCTCATCCTCTTCCTTTGTTTCAGGATTACAAGCCATAACATTGCCATGATGGTTACTAGCCCCACAAAAGCACAGAAACCAAATATTAAAGCTGAACAATTTTGGTTTCCAGGATGAAGTTGCACTGGTTGGGTTGTAATGGAGGTCATTCCAAGCATAGTAGCTGTGAAGGGAAACAACAGCTGTAAATGGGTCATCTTAACAAAGATGTTTCTTCTTTTGAAGAGAAGAGAATGGTTCCATTTTGGTTGATGGCATGGTAAGCTCAGTAAAAGGGGCAATGAAATAAGACATGTGCTACTGATTCAATTGTGCTATCAAAATAAAGCCAAAATGTTTCATATCTCCCCTCTGTGCAGCATTAAACCTCAATAATGTGAGTGCTTTTCTATGTGCAGCAGATGTAATGCTTTAAAGACAGTGGTCATGCAAGGGCTATAAAGAAGGCCCTGGAAACAATATGATGGAATGTTAAACCTGTTGTTCTGTATATCCAGATCAAGGGTTCTCTACTTAACTGTTTCCTTGGATTTATCAGTTCCAAGGGATATTAGGAATAAGGGAGAGAAGACGCAGAAGGACAAATTATTGGCTGTGGTTTTCTTCCAGATAGAAATAAACTTATCAGTAAAAGTGAACTAGGCCAGCGATTCACCCCAGAAAGCCTGTTTTAGTTAATATATCAAGCTGCAGATTCGCATTTCACCTTCTACAGAGGAGCATTTGGAGTTGAGCAGGACACTCACAATGTTTCTGATTTACTTAAAAATACAGCAGATTAGAGCAAGGTCATAAATAAATAAACAGATAAACAAGCTCAGCACCTTAAGATTGAATATGTGGGTAGCTGCAAGGAGCCACACAGTATGTTCTTGTTGCAGCTAGCAAATCTTACAATTGCACTCATAACCTTTTGAGCTCAGGCTGTGACTCCTCAAATTTGCTGTATCCAGGAAGTAGAAGACTGAAAATAAATGGCTAAATATTTAAATACCATTACTTGCTTGATAGAAAAACTAATTTTCCACTTGTACAGGGAATGTCTCCTGGTGAAAAGCAAAACCTTTGCTTTAGAGCACTTTATTACCAGCCCTTCTATCTTGCAGTATTCAACAACCAATGCCCAATACCCATGCAACACACATAAAAAGCACGCAGAGCTTCAATCGCACCTTCATGGACACTATCTTGCTTTTTTTTTTTTTTTTTACACTACACTCTGCCAACTCCCTGCCTGAAGGGTGAGACTCCAAAAGCAGCTTCCTTGGAAATAAATGTGAAAGCCTAGGCATATCTACTGCAAAATCTCTTGATTATGCATTCCCACCCTTGCATCTCAGTGGTTGAGAGATGCCCTCTCATGTTGATTACAGCCTTCATACGGGTTTGTATGGGATGAAACAAAATATTCCACCAGCTAATCCTTACCCATATGGTTGGATGTTCTGGGACATCTTACCTATGTATCTAGAAGGCACCAAGATAGAGAAGGCTGATCTAAACCATGAGGCAAGACTTTACCATGAGGTTTACAAAGTCCAGATTTACAGACTTACATTCTCAGAGACTGCTCATGCACAATACACAGAAGTAACCCGTGGTTGGCTACAAGAGCTGTGCAGACTTAAAACATTATTCCAAATATGTGCTTTGGGTCCCACACAAATAAGTGAATTTCTTAAAGCAGATGCACCTTGCTTTCAGGCTCATGTGAAGGTCTGAAAAGAGCCAGCCTACGTTAATTAACGGCAGAATAGTCTGAACACCTCTTCCAAATCATTTCTGAAAGAGACCCAGCCCTACTAGCCAGTTCAAGTGTCAGCATGTTGCGTGAATGCAATCTCTGTGATTAGTGTGTGGTACAATGTGTAGTGTAAACTTAGGCAACTCACTGAACCACAATTTAAGCGACTTAGGCCACATTGTTTTATGAATTAAGATTTTAATTAGAAGCAATGTGTTTTGGGTGAAGAATGAGAAAGTAATAGAAAGGAAAAAAAGAGAATGAGGGCCCTTTGTTTCAAAGAGATAAAACATTAAGGGCAAGGGATAGAATATATATTTGTATTAAAATTAAAATTCTGAACCAGAAGAGAGTTAAAATAGATAGATTTGCATAATTTCTTCCTCTTTATTGAAGGGAAGAGGAAAGAACTAAAAGGATGCTAAAACTCTGCCGTGTTAGCATCAGCTGCCTTCTAAAATTTCACTTGAGAGTTCATTACAAATACTTGCACATTTATCTTGACTAATGAAAGAGAGATAAACTAGCTTTGCTAAAAATGAAAGAGGAAGTTGTCAGTTTGTTGAATTTTGCACCACCCCAAATTATTTTCTGCACTCCCAGAGACTGGCCATAAACCAAACTCCTAAAATCAAAGCCTATAAAATGTAGCAAACACATGACACCTAGGGTAAGAGGGAAACACATGTTTGCCCTTTTATGTACAATTAGAAATTGAAGGAAACCCACACATTGTAGAAGGGAAACAGATTTTAAACAAATCTGAAAAGGGATTTGCACCATTTGCATCTCTTCTAGTAAAATAGCAAGCAGATACTACAAACCTGAAGTCTACCCACCATTGCTTATAGCTTCTTTTACTGGAGTTACATAATATGTTTAAGCCTAAACCCAGGTTAACCAAACACAACCTCTGCAGTCATCTAACAGTTTGCATCCCCTCCACCCCATATTATGATTTCATATTATGGCCTAATTCACACAATACACTAAAACAATGACTGAGTTTTCCACAACCTGCTGATTCACAACTGAACAATTCTATTCTAGCTTAGTCAGGCCTGTGGTGTGAAGCCAACATATGTCTCAAGGGCATTCACTAAAATCCACTATCACATCCTTGACTTTGGCAGACCTTTCCCCATTAACTGTTTCCATTTCATGGAGGAGGCTGGGAATTAGGCTCTGCCACTACGTGGTGGCGCTCTTCTGGGAATGTTGGAAACCAGAGCATGTAAAGGAATGAACTCCTGTAAAATCCCAGCTGAAGACTCCTCTATGAACTCTCTTCAGTGTAGCCTTCCATCCTCCCTTATAGAGGAGTCTGCTGCAGAGCAAGATAGACCAGCCAGCTCAGTATTATTTTACCACAATCCGCTTTTTCTAGTGTTGGCCAGTAGATAATGTGCCAATTGGGAAAGGCCGCTTTTTACTGTTGGCGTTAGATTACAGGAGGGCTCTTTGACAACCCTACCTTGAGATATTGGTACCTGGGGCCATAACAGGATGCCCAGTTACCAATATGCCCAACAGAACTTGTTTTTCATTGGTTCTTACTCCAATTGATGTTATTTTTAAGATAACAAAATCATCCTCATCCTCATCATCTAAACTTCAGCCATAAGTATTATCTATGCTTCAGTGTTTCTGGGCCCTACATAAATCCCAGAGGCATTCTTAAGCAAGGGGGTGGAGGGGAGAGACACAAAAAAAGAACTGAGGTAGTAGCTTCCTAGGAGGCTAAGAAGCCAATGAAGGATAACTTCAGTATGTCTTCTAGTAGATTGATATTTTATGATTGGCCATGTCCGCATTCCTTAACCATCTTTTGTGAAAGTGCCCATAATATTCTCTCAAATTTCTAAATGTATCTTCCAGCCCAAGAAGTAGAGACCTTAACAAAGGTACATGTCATTAACTCGTTCAGTTTATATAAGAGTTGGAAGAAGCAGTACACCTATTTATTGCAATTCCGATCTCTTAAACAATGCATGATGCTAGCCTGAGAAACTCCATAACACATAATTCCTCTAGATACATTTTTATCAACCCTTATACATGAGTCATACATGTGATGCAAATCAGGTCAACTAAATACCCACATGCATCTAACCCTATTGCTCTCATAGATATTGAACAATGACCTCAGGCTGTAAATCACCCTCACTTGACTGTTTTACCAGAAGAGGTGGCACCTGCCCTATGAAATAAACTCTCCTGTGAGGTTCGCAAAACCCAAGTGCTGACAGGTTTTAGACATATTTCAAAAATTTATTTTCTTTTGTTGACCTTCCCCAGCCATTAATTCCTTCTACTGTTTAACTTTTTATGGATTGTTTTTATCCTGACATTTATTCCTCCATTTTTATTTTAAAATATTTTCAGATTTTTAAAACTATCTGAGGATTCTTTGTAACGAGAAAATCAATCAATCAAATCTTCTCTGTTTTGTAAATGACTTTATACTTAACAGACTAATAAGGTGAGAATTGCCTTCTTAGGAGCAGAACTGGGCCCTTACCTGGGAGATCTTTTTTCCTATTCTCATGGGTCATTCTCTACCCCTGGACTCTCTTCTTGCTGATACAGAATCTGTTTTCAGCTTGCCTTCAGACCCCTAAGTCCACCCCACACTTTCAAGCCTAGGATTTTATATTTTCCTTACTTGTCTCCTTCCTGGAAACTCTTTGCATGCGTTTGCAGCTCAAGCATTGTTTGATCAGCCGGTCGTAGCAGAGGCTGGGATGAAGGCAGGTGGTGTTGGGATTGGGGTGCCTGCTTTGGTCCATTAACATTGGTGAATCGGACAATCCTAGCAGAGGCCTGGGTGAGAACAGGCTGCGTCGTAACTGCTTCTGCTCTTCATCACAGTTGAGCGTCAAAAGGAAGAGAAAGCAGTCAAGGTTTAACCAGAAAACAAATGATTCAAATGCTTCCTCAATGAGAAATCAGCAAACTGTGGAGTTCAGTAGTTTTTTTCAGGGCTCCCTAGAGCTTTATTGAAGTGGGGGAGTACAGAGAGGAGCATCTTGCCCAAGGATATTTTTAAAAATATATGCATTGCTATGGTATAGAAAGAGGCAAAATAAATAAATTAAATTAATTAAATTAAACCATGATGATTCCACCATTTGGTCCCAATACATTAGCAGCATCTAAAACTCCCAAATTGCTAGCAATATTAAAAGGTATTTTTTGATTTTTCCAAATCTATAGTGTTTTTAATAGATGGTTAAAGATTATCGTTGGAGGTCCAAATCAGTGGCACTGACTCTGCAGCATATCCTGAGCAACTGACCACAAGGGTGCACTAGGGTGTAGACTGAGAGCTATGGATTTATTCTATGTCCTGCTCTCCCTGCTCTGGATGTGAGAGATTACTAATCAGAATTTATAGTTACTTCTTCCAGTCTTTCTTTCCAGCCACACACGCACAGAGCACATACTCTTTTGAGTCTCTTCCTGGTCAGATGTAATTAGCAAAGTTAGATAAGTTTTGCCTATCCTTATAATATATTTCAAGTACATAAATTCCTTTCTGTTACAGTTATAAAATCTGCTTTGCTATTTATTGCCCAGGTTTGATTGCCACTCTTGGAATACTCACATGCACACACAGAATGCTTTCACCTCCAGATTTTGAATGGTATACCAACATTTTGGAAGTTATAGGAGAACACCGAGGCCAGATCTGCACTTTCTGTTTGCCCCATGCCCAGTACAGGCAGCTCCCATTTCTGCAGTGCAAGAACAGACAACACTCCTCTACCCACTCCCAGCCCATTGCAAACGCACCCCCCACACACCATGTTTGGAAGCTCTGCTTTAAAACTTTTTCTATCACTGAAATGTTACAAGTAAAGAAAAACTTTGAACTGATTCACAGGAACATCATTGTGGGCTGTCTTTTGTCTGTTCCATCCTTGGAATCCATGACATTTCCTCTCTTTAAACATTATTTTTATTTATGCATTTTATTTAATCTACTTATACTGTTTGTCAGATTTAAAAATAGCTTGAAGCAGTTTATGAAAGAGCTCTTTGTCTTTGGTTCTAGGAAAAAATGTATATTAAATGTATTCTAGCTATTTATGCATTGTTCTTCAAAGTACTAACTAGTACCAGCTTCGTTAAAGTCATGCGATGTATACCCCAGAGCTCACTGCTCTGAGCAAATCATTCTTTCTGGGGTCCCCAAGATACCCCAGGAAGCAGTAGAGACATCTAAACACCCTGTGGGAACATTAGAGTAGCAGTGTTCCCGCTGTCTTACTAAAATTCCTGTTTAATTTTTGGATGGTGCATGAATGAAATTGTTTTTCCCACAGAGAGTAGCCAATTGCACATAGATGGGAAACAGACAACTGGACATGGCTACATTGTCCCATTTGAATAGATAGGTTCAGGTTAAGAGACAAAGGCTTCTCCTGGATCTGTATTTCAGAATACTGCTAATAACAGCCCAGCTTTGGTTACTTGCTGTTCCAGATTATGGAGCCAACCTAACTGGCTACTTTCCATCTTCTCTCTAGCCATATCCTTTAATCTATGCAATACAATCCTGTTAACTGTATTTTCCTACATTATTTCTTTATATAGCTCCATTTATGCACATAATTTTTACAGGTAAAGACAGGTCCCCACTTATAATTTAAAAGAGGCCAAAACAATCTAAGAGGAAAGGGATAAATGACACAATGGGGAAATGGGGGGAAAGTGTGTAATTATTTCAATTACATGTAGCTTTCATTACAGGAGCAGATGCCAAGGCAGCGCTTTGGCCTAGGCCATCATAATGATTGCTACTTTTGAGGTGATGCTGTTCGCCATAGAACATGCTAGTCCTTAGTTATTATGCTCCTAAAGCACTTGCTGTTTGGAACGGCATAAGAAGTCAAATCAGCTGGCAGTGCCATCCTATAATGATCAGCCTCTTTTCTTTTTTCTTTTCTTTTCTTTTTTCTTTTTTCTTTTCTTTTCCAGAAGATTATTAAGATATGCCTGTGCCATGGGGGTAGAAGCTATGTTGGGGTCAGACTACCATGACTGAGTGGCCAAAATCCAAACAACCCTTCAAAGTACATTCTAAGAGTTAATTTAAAAAAAAAGAAAAGATTCTGCTGCCATGTAGTGGTCATATGGATTTTTGCAGCTCAGATATGGTGGAGTTAATCACATAGTTGTTTATACACTTTCATGGATAAGTTTTCCAACACTTTTCTAACTTTTCCCATTGTTAACTTCATTTCCCTTCCTATAATCTTGATTGTTAAAAGTCAAGAAAGAACATGATGAATAGCCCCTGGCTCACTGCCACCATACACTTATATCTCCATGCTTCCAAATTTAACTATACCACAGAACCCATTCACATATCTTCCGTGGATCTCAGATGTATCACCACCTCCAAATGATTTCATAAGACGTTGCCTGAAGTGCTCCTAGTTTATACAAGATTAAAAAACAAAGCAGCTGGAGGCAGGGAAGGGTAAGGATGGTAATGTAAGACACTTTGAGCAAGGACAAATGAGTGCCTATTTTTTAAATATCTTGCCTTTGGTTCTTTCAGTCCAGTTTTTCCAGTCTAGTAGGTACTGCTAGGATAAGCATGTTCCTTCTACACACAATTGGGAGATAGCAGCAGAAAGTTGATGTTGCGGTTGTTGTTGTTCTACTATTCTTCTAAAGGGAAGTAAGATTCTGTGGTTGCTTTAAATTATACCTTTATCTAATTAGGGAAGTAAGAAGAAAGTATACAGGTAGTCCTCATTTAGCAACCATTCGCAGTTACAACAGTGATGAAAAAGTTACTTTACAACCAATCCTTGCATGTACAACTTTCACAGATCTGTAAAGCAAAGGAAAGCTGAAGTAAGATCGTAAGCACTGTTGCAGTTTCACTTAGTGACCACTTCACTTAATGACTAAGTTGCCATTCCCAATTGTGGTTCCTAACAAAGATTACCTTTCAGAGTCCCATCAATAGATACATATACACCAATCTATTTAAGCTGATAGGCACATTTGGAATGTTGACAGCCTGTTATGGGCAGGCTCCCAGAATAAGTCATTGTAGGTATAGCCAATCATAAAATTCCAATTTAGCAGTGGGGCAAATAAAATTTTAGATTGCATTTTATTTTCTAAAAATGTCTCCAGGGTGGAATGTGAGTAGAAATGTCATAGTAGGAAATACAGGTTATGCTAGAAGCTGATGCTTTGCTTTGCAATGTGGTAGCTTTCCATTCCTTTTTTTTTAATTAAAAGAATGTTTAACAAGAAAATTAAGTAAAGCAGGGAACTTTGTAAATGCCAAGGAATGTATTGGCAAGCACAGTGTCACCCTTGACCACCACAATGGGTACAATGGGACACACACAAGTTGTGAATGCTTTTAACCTGACTATTTATTCAGTCAGGTTTGTACTACTGAGCTACTACAATGTTCATTTACATTACAGTTCAAGGGAAGGTGACCCCAACATTTCCTCCCCTTTGTTTTCTCTTTCTGCATCAGCAGTGTTTGAATTAGCTTAACCAAGTGAGAAATGCTCGGTCCTATACTTCTCTGGGACAAAACTCCACTAAACAGTCAAAAGCAAATTTCTCTGTAAACTTTGCATATGAAAATGCTCTAAGCCCCTGACACTTTTTAACATGAAGTTTTAACAAACTTGGGTTCACATTGTCCTTTAATGCAAATTTAGAATGTTCTCCTATATTTTCTTACTTATTATTTTTGTTCACCTGTATCAGGAAGGGAAGAAAAGCTGAAATGAGCTTTTGAAATAATTTAAAAACATCACAGCCTGCTGCAGGAAATTACATTGGGTTATACCACTGTTCCCTGAAACAAATCGATATCATGTGGACCTCAAATAAGTCTGTGTGAATCAGCCTTCCCCCTCCTGTTTCTATTGGACTGAGAATCTCTAGCCATTGGCTATGGTGGCTAAAGATTCTGAAATTTGAAGTCTAACATATTTGGAGGGTACAGGCTGGGCAAGTTTGATATACTGTATATCCTTCTGAAAATTCTATGCTAAACAAGGTTACACATGTATGAACCAAATTCTTTAAATATACATCCATGTGCCATTGTATTCTGAAAAACACACCAGTATTTTTTCATAGCTTTTATAATATAGATAGAGAGCTGTCTTAAGTGAAACTCTAGTAGGGAAAATCATGGAGGATCCCCTCCCCTTAACCTTATTCACTATGCCATGAGCAATAGGAAGACAAAGAAATGTAGAAGTCCTAAATAGCTGCTGGGTTGATGGACAAATTACCCCAAAGCTGTAGCTGATACAGGGGCATAGGAGTGAGCCTGAGGGAAGGAGTGGCCCTGGGGTACATCAATCTATGCAGAATAGAATCCTCCATGTTTACAGGAAGAGCCAACCCAGGAATAGCAGGATGCTGTACTGATAGAGCAGGTGCAAATCCTCATTTCCCAGGAGAATTTCTGAGTTCATAGGAAAAACCTGCCAATCTGGTGAACAAGCAGTTTAAGGAATTCCTTTTCATACTTGAAAATAAGGCCTGCTCTTCTTTTCTTTGATTTGGGGCTAATTTTAGTTAGTGGCAGATGTGAAGAGGACACTCCTGATAGGGCTTCTGTTTCCTCTTGTTTCATTATAGTACAGATGGTGGAGCATTTACCTTCCTTCCTCTTGTAAAGTCCAGGGCTAATTTGTGTCTCTCTGTGGGACTGGGGCTACTAGCCTTGGGTATTAATGAGTCTAGATCTCCACCCAGTGTCCTTAATAATAAGCCCCATAGAATAACCTGTCAGGACCCTCAGTCTCTTGAGCTAATCTGCTGAGGGACAGTTGCTGGTGGGGATGGAGCTTTGGGCCGGTAGGAG